TGTCATCAGCTGCAGCTGCATCATAAAAACTATTCACCAGCAGCAGCTGCATCATCACCAGTAGCAGCACCAGCAGCACGACACCACCACACCAACATCCTCATCCCCAGCCTGCTCCAAAGCAGCCACGCCTTCTTCATCTACAGCGCCTCAGAAGCCCCCAATCCTCACCCCAGCCTACAGCAGACAGGCCTGTGCTGGGGTTTCCTCAACCACCTGCCCCTCCATCAAAGACTCCCTCGCCACCTCCCATGGACCTGTCTTGGGTCCCCCCTGCCACGTCCACTCCATCAAGAGAGAATGGGGACACCTCCCTTTGTTTTTCATCCCCGCCTTCACTGTTAGACCTACCTGAACACTCTGCAGGGCTAATAAAATCGGCCATGAAGACTATTCCTCTCACACCCATATTAGCTCGATCTAGAGTCCTGTCCAACATGCTAAACCACTCCCCATATGTACCTCCAAAACCACCTAGGGTTTCCAATTCACCTACAAAAACCACCTCAGCCAGTCCCTCCCTAACCTCATGACCATTCCACCCCCACTTCCCCCTCGTTCAACATCCAAAACCTCTGCCTCAGCCCACCCCGGCCCTAACCCATCACCTAAAACCCCTCCACCTCCCTGCCCCCCTCGTTCAACACCCAAAAGCCACCCACCTCTCCATCCTCCTCCCCTGCCTTCCCCTTCCCCTCTTTTCTCTAAACACTAGGATGCACAGGGTCTCTGCTTCGCAGCCACTGGCAGTCTAGTTAGAGGAGAGACCCGGCTGGGGCCCTGTCATGAAGCCACCTGTGCCATTCCCTTAGTGATAACACAAAGAATACATTACAGAAAAACATCTGGAGTTAATCAGTCTAATCTGGAAAATCTAATTCTTGTTCCGTGTAAGAATCAGCCGACCGCAACCGCTGATACTGAAACTTTGAAACTTGCTACGCTTAATGTCAGATCTCTTTGTAACAAGTCTTTTTTAATCAATAATTTTATTTGTTCTCATAATCTTGATCTTATGTTCATGGCTGAAACTTGGCTTGACCAAAATTCAGAAAATGCAGTTTTAATAGAAGCATCACCACCAAATTTCAAGTTTGAATCTGAAATACGGGAAAACAAAAAAGGAGGAGGCTTAGCTGCCATTTTTAGAGACCACTTTGTCTCCCATAGAATGTCTCTTGGGAAGTTTTCGTCATTTGAATATGTGTCTTTTAAAATTACAACAAAAACAATCTCCTCCAATACTCTTCATTGTCCTATACAAGCCACCGCAGTCATGTCACAGTTTTATTGATAATTTTACCGAGTTGCTTTCAGTTGTATGCACAGATTTTGATAGTTTGGTTATTACAGGTGATTTTAATATTCATGTGGATAATGTTGATGACAGAAATGCAAATGAGCTGAGTTCTGTACTTGAATCCTTTGATCTCACTCAGCACGTAAGTGGCCCCACCCACAGCAAAGGGCACACTCTAGATCTGTTAGTTACAAAGGGGGTGAATATTTCAAATGTAAACGTGGTCGATGTTGCTCTTTCGGATCATTTCTGTGTTTTTTTTTGACATGTGTTTCACTAACAAACCCACCAGTGGACTCTGCAACTGTTCGAAGAAGGCGCATAAATGAAAATACGAGTGAACTATTTATGGGAATGATAAACTTTGAGAATGCATCGTATTCTACTGTAGATGAACTGTTTAACTCTGTCACCTCTAGTGTTTTGAATGTTCTGGATACCGTTGCCCCTGTGAAGGTTAAAATAGTGAAAAATAAGCAGAAGGCGCCGTGGGCTAAAGCAGACTCGGTCAGGGCACAAAAGAGAAAGTGCCGGAGGGCCGAGCGGAAGTGGCGCAAGTCCAACCTCCAGGTTGATTACGAGATCTTCAAAGATAAGTTGTGCGAGTTTAACTGGGTGCTACGTAGTACGAGAGAAAGGTATTTTTCTGAAATGATTGAAGGCTGCAGCAACAATCTGCGTGTTCTGTTCTCAACAGTTAATAGATTAACAAACCCCCCTGTTCAAATGCCATTAGAGCTTACTTCCAAACGTAAATGCAATGAGTTTGCTCATTTTTTCAATGACAAGGTTCAAGGCATCAAAAACGCCATTGTCTCCAATCCACAGATAACCATCCAACAGCCAGAAAGGCTCTCTGAGCTAACTCACTTTGCACCTGTAAATGATAAAACTGTTCAAGAGATAATCTCCAGTTTGAGCTCCTCCACATGCAGCTTGGATGTACTACCCACTAGATTTCTAAAGTCTGTTCTGAGCAGTCTGTTACATTCACTCACACAGATAGTAAACATGTCCCTTCATTCTGGAATATTCCCAAAGGCCCTGAAAACTGCAGTCATCAGGCCCCTGCTAAAAAAGAGCAGTCTCGATGCTACGGTACTTAACAACTATCGTCCCATCTCAAATCTGCCATTTATGGGGAAAGTCCTTGAGAAAGTTGTCTACCTACAGCTTACTAGATTTCTTATAATCAACAACTCATTTGATATGTTTCAGTCCGGCTTTAGACCCCACCACAGCACTGAGACTGCTCTCGTTAAGGTTACAAACGATATCCGGCTGAACACTGACGCAGGCAAAGTCTCAATCTTAATCCTGTTAGATCTAAGTGCTGCCTTTGACACCGTCGACCATGAGATCCTCTTACAGAGACTAGAGGACTGGGTTGGCGTCACTGGCACCGCCCTAAGTTGGTTTAGATCTTACCTTGAAGACAGGAAGTACTTTGTGGAGATTGGAAACTGTGTCT